CCCGCCTAAAACCCCTTGTGGAGAACACTGGACCAGGGATCACATGTGGCCACAGGCTTCAACTGTGACCTGTCTGATAGTAATTTTGGTCACAAGAAGCCATAGAATGCTCCATTTTAACTTTGAATTATCAAAAACTCCACACCCTGGTAAGGAGAACCCCATCTCCCCCACTTGGTGGCTCCGCTGAATTTCAGTGCTCCCTCTTGCAGTTTTTTTCTAGAAAAACCCCTGCTTTTAGGGCTAAAATTCACCTAGGATTCAATGATAGGAGTTCTTAACCAATCGCATGCCTGGAACATTCATTCATTCTGACAGTTGTTGTTTTGTTTGTAATCTGTTGACCAGTAATCCAATTGCCATATGTTAGTGACAACGACATAAACGCACGTCACTTTAGACTATTCCAGTTCTTTATTTTACCAGCTAATTTTCAATATATCAAGTACAGATTTTAAAAATAGGCTAAAAGGGTGTGTGCCTGATTTTATTTGTCATATTGTGCCCCCTTCACGTCTTAATAACAATACTGTTCATTGTGTTTGAATAGTGTTTGAGATCAGAGTAAATAAATGATTAAACATTAACAGTTTCTTTAAAAAGAGACAGACTAACAATTTAGGTTAGTTGTTTATGTCCTAAATGACTGTCCCTAAAAATCAAACAATACAATCTAACTGTCTTTTGGCAGTTAAAGTGAGGGGGGTCATGACCTGCACATGTAGCAGACAGTCATAGCATGTCATTTACAAACAGGTGTCTACCTGCGAGTCTTTGTGTTTCATAGCTCGTGACTATTCCTGTGCATGCATAGGTGACAACACCACCAGGTTCAAATCTCCTACTGAACATTTTTTGGAAAGAAAACCTTGAATGTGCATGCACAATTAAAACATGGTTTGAAAAGAATTGTGTACTGTAAGCTACTTTAATATCATAAGAGAATTTTTCATGAATTTCTTAATTAAGTGAAAATTGTGAAATTTTATAGCAATGATAATTTCTTTGGGTGCTAACGGCACAGTCCATCAACAACTTTTGCAAACTTTTGTTTTTACGAATGCTATAAACAATCTTGACAATTTTTGGTAGTAAAAAAAAGATGTTCGCGCGTACCAAGTAATCAAAAACTGATGCAGATGTTTTTTTTATATTGCGAACTATATCAATTTTTATTTTTCAGGAAAATTCAATTTAAAAATACAACATATAATGATACAACATACAATGTTTAAATTTTGAGACTATGCAGTATGCGCATACATGTTTGGGAACTGCGCATGCTCAGGTCTCTGCTTCAAAATTTCCGCATAGAGGGTAGTGGCATTTTTGCTCTGGTGTTTTGATTTTCACAGGAATTAACCAGTTTTAGTTCGAATAAAGGTAATATAAGTCGATCGATAGTTTCTACTGATATCATGCTTGAGTTGTGTTAAGTGGATCGAAATATAATTTCGAAAATAGTGTTATTTTCGAACAATTTCGATGTCATGGTGTCAACGCTTTCCTACCTTGTATTATTATTATTATGAGTGGTAGGCGAATGTACCGGCGCGACTGACTAACTATGCCAATCCCACTATAGGTCATTTATTTATTATCCAAGAAACGTTCCGAGCGCCTGTGGACTGAATGTAACAAAACGCAACAACAAACGACACATGATTTTCAAGTTACTCCAGATGTTTATAAAAAGGAAGCGAGTGGGTAAATAATTAAGGGATGTTGTGGTGATCTTGTTTGTGACAACTACTCACAACTATGTTTGGTAGGGTAGTGATACTTACTTTCCAGACAAATCTGTCACATGTACAAATGTATCGTTGAAAGACGCAAAAATATGAGCGACGCCGAACACATTTTCGCCTTCCACCGCCTGTGGACCAAGTGCGATCTGTTGTTCTTCCTTCTTTTCTTTACCTTTACGTGGAGCCATGGCTAAAACAATTCACAATGAAATTGTTTAGTAAGCGGGAAGAGACGATAACTCAGTTGTTAGTGAATAAAAGAATACACCTACGATAATCATTGATAAAGTCAACCTAGATCCCAACGTACAGTAATCAAAACATCGTACAATCTATGATATTTACGAAAGAATATTGCTCAAATATTTCTTTCATGCTGTTCACAAATATGTTTTTACCTCAAATTTATTGCGAGTTAGGTTTTATTTTATCCAACAGACCTGATGATTGCCGATTTTCGAAGCATGTTTTCACTCACCTATTTATCAAAATGGCTACCTTGGTCGAAGAGGCTGAACTCTCGTTTAAATCGCGGAGTACTTGGCGAGATTACGAATTTTCGGGGGGGGGGTGTCTATTGGACTCCTTAAGTTTTTACAATGTCAACTCGTAATTTTAATATTTTGTTGCCACATTGGGATGAACACCATGGCATAAAGGGCCATTGTGAGAATTGGCTGAAAATGGGTATAATTTTGCAAAATATAATATTTTTGTAGGGACTTCTTTCTTAATAAAAGAACAATTTGGTGAGTATTCACATCAAGAAAACTAGTTTTCATCAAGCTAGGGTGCATGTTATGCGTGGACGACCTCTCCTTTTTAGTTCACATCCTCTTGTTGTTCGTCTATTTCCTGCGTTTCTCGTATGCTGTTATTATCGGTAGTCTTATTTGACGGTATAGGGGACTTTCTCCACAAAATGTTTTTTATTTGTTCGTGTTCCCGTACATTACGTCCGATTTATTTCCCGAAATGATCCGACCATTGCCGAACCCATTGATCAGGTGGCCATCTTTGTTTTTATTTTGAAGCCGGACTTTTTAATATTGAAGAGTTTATTCACTTTTCTCAAGATGATCTTCCTGTCGTTCATATGACGGAACTTGTAGTCCTGTTAATCCACGTAATGCATCTTAAATTCTGAAGATATACCGATTTGTAGCTTGTAATATTATTATTTGCTATTACTGCATATGGACCTCGCTAGCTAGTTCAACAATACTCTTCAGTTCTGCCGACAATTTTGAGGCGGAGTCATCGTACGGTCTATGTTGGAAACGAGAATTTAAACTTTCGGAGACTACAACCACATTGTTAGTTGTGGACTTTGCATTTGAGTCCAGTTTCGTCAACTAGGCGACATGGATTTCATGTTCGACTGGGAAGAAGGCGACCAATTTTCATTTGAAGACAGTGATCGCTTCGAAGAAGACTCTTTGTGCTCCTGGATCAGCGAGACAGAGAGCGTCTGCAATAATTGGCGAGGATGGAAAAAAACAGGAAACCAACCCTACATACCTCCGGAAGGTAATATTTGTGAACATTATGCTCACGCTAAAAAATATGTATCCCCATAAATGTATAAAAAAATTAAGTTGACCTTGAAAACATAGTGGCCTTGTGACGTCAGCAAGGTTGCAGACAAAGGCGACCTTGATTATACACACTATTTTAAAGCATGTTCACATATTTAACCAAAGGCTGTCTGAGGACAGAGAGGTCAATGTAGGATAATTGTAGATATTGCAATGTATTGTAAATTAAGCTTCTTAGTATAAATGTTTTGGAATCATTATAAAAGAAATAGTTGGTAAACACTGTTGGAACATGTTTTGTGTAAAATTTTCAAATATAGTGGTTCACTGAGAAAAATTAATATGTCACGAGTTGGTATGTAATATATCTCTGTGCTGCATGCAGACCTTTCTAAGGAAGCCATTTATAATTGCATATTTCACCCAAGTTTTATTGCATGAAGCCGTTTCTCTTCCATCAATCACTGTGTCACCTATGACTTGTATAGAATTTTTTTTGCTCACATCTTGAGTAAATTAGGCCAGTAAACCCACCCCAAATATCATAATAGACAGAAAATGATAATAGTTGAATATGTTGTTTTCAAGGTTGCCTTCCATTACTATTACTGTCATTGGACAGTTTTGTGTGACATGTCATGGTGTCTATAAAATACATTATTTTGTGTAAGATATTTTAGTGCTATACTGGGTAATTGATAAGATAAATAGTTCAAATAGGAATTTGATATTTTTAAAAATTTGTTTATTTTCTAAATGATACCAATGTTGTTACCTACTTTTAGTTAATGTCCTGTGACAATATTGATTTATTAAGTCCAACAACATTGTAGTGGTTCTATATCATCAATATAGAAATAAAGTAAAAATCAAAACATAATGCTACTCTTATTTGCATAACACTGTAACCTATTTACCTTGATCAGGACAGATTATTTTAGAACAATAGCCTTTATTAGCATAATACTAATTTCCCTTTTTTATTCATGATAAGTCCAGCATGGTAAAACCACCATCCTCTAAGATTCCTGGGGACAACAGAGCAATATATTTGGCCATGTAAATAGCTCGTATTTTAATTTATATTATTTTAATATAATTTTTATAACAAGGTATTGTAAAATTTATTATTGACAATAGACGGGGTATGTGAAACACTGCTATGGTAATGTGGATATTGTATTCACATCTCACTGACAACTGTCATGTGATATTCACCTAGTGTTCATACATATGTACATGTATGATACGTTGTCTTCTTTTGGTGTACCAATTGGTGCATTTCATGCCTGCACACTAACCCCTATGTGAAGTAGCACAGAATGAAAAAAAACACACAAATCAGATATGGTTCAAATAATGTCATGCTGACCTTCTCTTTAAAAAAATCTCTTTACTGTGACATAATTTTGTGCATGCATTCACAGTGCATCAGGTCACATGTTTGTCATCTCAAAAATAAACTACCGGTACACGTTTATAGCAACCACCCAAGGGATTTCATTACAATGGTCTTTATATAGAGGTTGATTTTTTTTTATTCAATTGCCAACTTATACTTTTGCCACATTTGTAGAAAAAAATGATGTGATTTATCAAAATCAAATAAGTTTGACTTGTGGAAATTAAAAATCGGTCAATAAACAGAATGATGATTAATATTTTTATCTCTTTAAAAACAAAACAAAAATGTTACCTAAAGGTTGAAATTGCTTGTCAAATGCATCTTGGGATTGTCTAAAAGAGGTTGCTATATACAGTACAAGTGTTTTTTATACACTGGTTGCTCATACTGTATGTTATGTCTTGGGACTGCCTAAAAGTGGTCACTATGGACAGGTGGTCTTTATATATTTTTTGGTCATATGTTATGCCTTGGGACTGCCTGATAGTGGTCCCTTTTGGCTGGTAGTCGTTATACAAAGGTTGTTTATATGTTATGTCCTGGGTCTGCCTAAAAGTGGTCTATATAGGCAGGTGGTCTTTATACAAAGGTTGCTCATATGGTTATGCCTTGGGACTACTTGCAAGTGGTCTCTATAGACGGGTTGTCTTTATATAGATGTGGTTACTAACACAGAAACCATAAGGTTGAAATGAAGACCCCAATCTACCTTGGAGCAACATGATGAGATGGCCTAGATTCCACAAGGACATCTTTTGTATATGTCATTGCTATTGGGTGATATTCATTGAGCAAACTAAACTATGTCATGGTCAAATATATAGAGTAGGTTTTACATGTGTCTGGTTCTCTTGGTCTGACAATATCAAAGTGTACACAGTTCAGTTTTAGTTCGAAAAAAAAACGTGCTTGGTCAAACATTACATGTAGACTGGTAGACATATTGTCTATAGCAACAAAATTACCATATACAACCTTTGATAAAAATTGAAGATTAAAATGTCTATAAAATCAGACTAATTGTTATATTGAATATGCATATAACCCTAAAATATGCCTGTGATCTGCATTGTTTGGAATATAATTACTGAGTTGAGTGCATTTTACTGCTCTAACTGGCTGGCAATAAATGGAATATTTAGATTGGAGTGACTGACAAATGCCATGATAAAATGTTTTGTGGACCACCATAGAGTTGTTGAGGCCGTCTGTATTTAGCCTTTTGCCATACCAAGTGTGTAAGTTTTCTACTGATTATTAGAATGGTAATTTTATGATAGCTTACGTGATATTTAACAATCTGAATGGAGAAGAATTATCTTTTCTTATTAAAAAGTAATCTCCATTTTGAGTATTCCATATAAAAGCTAGTTCGGTGGACTACTGCATTGTAACTGAAGTAATCACAGCTAATGGATAGTGTGGATGTATCAATGAATGCATTTTATATAAATGAATGCTCACTGTTCAGTCTATTAGGCAGTATCATTTACATGATATTATCCATTTTTGATACACTATCAGATTTATTGTGAATGCTAAATTACAATGGGAATACAAGTGTATAAAACTATATGTTTTGCTTTTCATCATTTTTTTATAAACAAGTTTGGTTGATCCTCAACAGGGATGCCAAACTAATACTGAATATCAAGTAAAGATACAATTCCCTTTCAATTTTGTTCATTTAATCGTATAAATAGCTATATAGCAATATGTTAAGTTAAGGAGGGGGGTATATCTAAACAAATATACTTAAACTAATTTCAGCTGATGATTTTATGGCATTTATATTTAAACAAAATAGTGTGAAAGTCGTTGACACATGGGTCATAGAACACAAATATTTATTGCTAAAAAAATTCATGATTTTTACTGACATTGTCTGTGACAGTGAATCAGTGTAATGTACATCTTTCAGTTTGCTCACACTAACTTTAATTCAAACTCATTGTGAACATTAAACCTGAATATTAATTTTATTATAATAAAATGCATATACGCATGTAGATAAAGTCTATTTTTTTTAAATAAAATAAAAGCCATGCAATCGTATCCAGCTTTTTCAAAAATACAATTTTTGTTAAGTGTTCATTCATCGTTACTGCAGGCAGTCTGGAATGTACATTTGTTTTAAATTTTATTAAATACCAGTTATCAAGTGGTCCATCCCACCCCTATTGTATTATCTATTATGAGAATGCATGTTCAAAGCTTAATGCTTTGCAACCATTGCTGATGATCCGGTGTTAGTTGAACAGTTTTGCTGCAACCATCCATCTACTTCCATCAGCAATTACTGAAAAATACATAAAACTACTAAAAAAACAAAGTTGAACTAATTTGATCAAACAAGTGTTAACACTTAAATGGAAAAAGACTATTTGACCCTGTGTCAGTTATCACATGCCAAATCACATGTATGAAACTTAACTAGCCTGCCGGTGATGTATATTATGACCCATAAGGCTGAGAAAAAAATATCTGTTTCTCGTTTCCACACACATCATTTTGAAATGTGTGCCTTGAACGTTTTTTTCCTTCTAAAGCATTCCAAAATGCGCTTGTACTCGCACTTGTCTCAGAATTCCCCATTTTAGCTCAGTATTAAAAAGAAAAAACTCCTTGCCGCCTCATTTTAAAATTTTCATGAAACGAGAAATTTTTTTCCCAACAACAACAACATAACAACTATAGCAGTTATTCTTGTTTCTCAATATTATTGGATGACTAAATGTGTGGTAATGCTTTTTTTGTCCCAAACAGGCACATTTTGGTTGGGACAGTTGGTTCTAGAAATTGCTTGTCTAATTATCATGGTTATAGCCAGAAAATAGAAAGTGCCTGTCTAAAATCGTTATTGAAATGAAAGACATCAATCTCTAGTCTGTAAATACAGATTTACAATAGTTTTTGTTTTTGATTATTTACGATTTATGTAATTTCTTGGGAATTTTCAATCTAAATTGGACAGTTTTGTAGTCGAGCGGAGCTTATCATATGAGTGATTGTCCGTCGTCGTCCGGCGTCCGTGTCAATGTTTTACTTTTTCGACTTCTTCTTGAAAACTACAAGCCTGAATGCTTTGATACTTGGTGTATATGTACCTTGGGTAGACCTCTCTCAGATTTGTTCATTTCATGATCATATCTTCAATTCTCTAATTTTGGTGAATATTTTTGTCATTTTTGGTAAAAAGTGATATTTTCGATTTCTTGTTAAAAAGCGCAAGTCCAATTGCTTTGATATTACATATATAGGTACTACATGTGGATCTCTCTCAGATTTGTTCATTTTGTAATGATATCTTTAGTTTTCTAATTTTAATGAATATTTTTGTCATTTTTAGTAAAAAGTGATATTTTCAACTTCTTGTTAAAAACTGCAAGTCCAATTGCTTTGATATTACATATATAGGTACTACATGTGGATCTCTCTCAGATT